CCGTAAGTGTGTGCACGCATGCATGTGAACATGTGAGAGTACAGGCAAAGTTTCATCTTGTCACACTGCAAGACCAGCGTCATAGATAGGTTGGGAGAGGTATGCAACTGACTCTGTCAATCACTGCGGAGAAGATGGAATCGACAGTTTGTTCTAACATGCTCAGTGCATCACAGAGTTGCAGATATGTCTCTTCGGGCCGCAGGTCATGTCCCACCACTGCAAGCATGCCACCCACAGAGAGCACACACGAAAACATGACACGTAAGCAAAGATGCTCAAATAACAATACAAGATTGCAGTCCTACAGGCCATCCGTTAAAATTGGAACGATACAGAGAATGAAGATTAGCATGGCCCCAGCGCAAGGATGACAAAAAAGGGGGGGGAAACAGGGGATATATTTATTAAAAAAAAAAAAAAAGATTGCACCAGTGGTTGAGCATCACAGCATACGTCCTTCTGAAACCACGGACTTTTTTTAAGGTTTTTTTTTTCTGAACCAAGACTTAAAGACATGGGTCAAAGTCTTCTGCATAATTTGGTATGGTGGCAGATGCACCGTTCCGAAACTTGGTGTGCTCGCCCCAGTCGAGTCAAAGGGACTTCATCTCCCAAAAGTCCACCTTTAAGTTCCATCAGCAGATGAACATACTAACATAGCCATGCTCGCACTCATGTAGTGTACACATCACAGCAAGACTTTCACTCCATAGCATTTATTTTGTTTTCCTTTTTTAAAGTTTCTTTTTCTTTTTTTCTTTTTTTCTTTTTTTTTTTCTTGAAAGCAGAACCTTATGGTTCAGGCTCCTTTCCATTCTGGAGTGCGTAAGCCCGACTCCATAGCATTGTTGTTACCTGCACAATAACATTTGCAAAGCAGGAGGTCCAAGCACAGGAAACAGACTTCACCTAGAGTCAACGACCTAAAGTCAGCGACCTAAGGTCAACTTAAACAAGACTCAGAAGACTGAAGGCCAAGCATATCGAACCCCGAAGTCAACAACCTAAGGTCAACTCAGCCAGAAGCGTCTACGGTACCAACCGGCCTAGCACAGTTGGTACACCCATGCACTGTTGAAATGCAGACCTGAGTTCGAATTCCAATAGAAATCAGATGGGTGCTAGGCTACCAGAGTGGCCCGGGGTCACTTGCCCGGCCGGGCCAAAAATATTTAAAATTAAAAAAAAATAAAAAATATTTTAAAATTTTATTTTATATTTTAAATTTGGTAAAGAATTTCAATGTGACCCTGAGGCAAAAGTTGTTCAGTTTATTTTTCTGCATAACATAGTTGTTTTTCGGATTTTTTGGATTTTTTTTGTTTTTTGCTGGGACCCTCCCTTGTCCTTGCACGGGCTGGCCACCCGGGACCCGGGCGGCCCGGCTGGTAGCCTAGGATGAGTGAAACTAACTCTGAAATTTACCGAGGGCCGGTCGGTTCCAAGATGATATCCGAAGGTCATTGCCCTTTTTTTTTTGGGTTGAGTTCGAGGGTCAAGAAGTCAGTTTGCAGGGTTTAAGCTGGTTGGTCCAGAGCCCTTGCCACTCCGGTAGGTAGGGTAGCAGAGAGGGGTCGCTTTGGTCCCAAAACCAAACGAGTACGGGTATGGTGGGGTAGCAGTGAAGGGTCACTTTGGGAGAAAAAAAAAAAAAAAGAGGTAGATAGGGCCCACGGCAAAGCCTTTTCGGTTTTGCGATCTCGAACTTGCCAAGTATGGTGCTCCCATCCCTAAACCAGACCGATAGGCCCTTTTTTCCCTCTCTCTTAGTGCGATGACAGCCTTGAGATATCATCGTGAAACTGACCGGCCCTAGGTAACTCCGGAATTCCGTTCATCTGGTTCCATCATCTGGGTTCGAACTCACATCTGCATTTCAACAGTTTATGGGTGTACCAAACTGAGCTAAGCCCGTTGGTGTAGCCCTTTTTTAACAATTTTGACGTTTGATAACGAATCAGTCTCCTATGGGCCCAGTTTCGGGACGGAAGTACCCGAACTTTTTTGCCCTGGGCGGGATGTACGTGGTCAGTTCTGAGTTCAGGGTTGCAAAACCCGAAAGGTTTTGCAGTGGGCTGTGTGTCTAGATGTTTCCACAACACTTTGGCAGTGAAACAAAACAAGCCTGGGTGAGGTAGGGGGTTTTAGCAGTGAGGGGTCACTCACTTTGGTGGTCCCAAACCAAAAAAGAAGTCAAGCTAATGCAATGAATTACAGTATCCAGCGGGCTGTACGCTACCGGTAGCTGCTGTGGTAGTTTCCCGGCGGTTGAGGTCTTCAGGGCTGTTACGATCCTGGTCATTTCCCAAGTGCAAATTCACAATGAAAGACAATACCACCCAATTGCGAAAGAAATGAAAGCACTTGCAAGAGATAAAGACCAGAGGAGAGGTAAAGAAGAAGAAGAAGAAGAAGAAGAAGAAGAAGAAGTACACCAGCAAGACCAATGACAATTCCCCCCTTCTCTCTCCTCCTTCCTCCTTCCTCCTTCTCTTCACCAATCTTAGTCTTCTCTCAACAATAATAATAACAATGAATGGATGAACCAGAATCAATGTCCGAAGTTCCCCCTTACTGCTGACTCAACTCACAACAACAACAACAACAACAACAACAACAACAACAACAAAGTCCACCATGGCCATGGCTTCCCTCCTTCATCCTCCTCTCTCATGCATAGGCCATGGCGGACTACTAGGAGGCAGCTATGATGCTGCGCTGATGTCCCAAGACAACCCAAAGCAGCTATGCCGCTGCTTGACTTGGTCCGCTATGCCTGACTCTGCCTTGAGCTGCTCTGGTGCAGCGCTACCCCAACTGGGGCCTTCCAGATGCAGCGCCCAACAAGGTGACGAAGATGGTGTCCACCATAGCCAGGTAAGTTCCCTACCACTCTCCTACCATGCCCCCTTCTTCCTCCTCCTCAAGCTGGGGTGCTCGCCATAGCCAGGCTGAGCCCCAGCGGACCTTCACCTTCAAGCAGCGCTGCTTCAGTCCAGCGCTGCGCTCCAGCAGCATGTCGCCAATCCTTGCATACCGCAAATTAGGAAGAGCTCACCGCTCTTCCTGAAGATATAGCGGCCTACCGGCCTCCTGGGCGGCGACTTCCTAGGCCAAGCGGCCTCCCAGCAACCGGTACCTCCTCCCTTTTGGAGGGAAACATCATTGCAGGCTCTGTTATTGTCCGCACAGGCCCTAGACCCGGGCTACTTGGACTGGTACCGGCCTACTTCTAACCTACCGCTACTGGGCCTCTAAAAATGCCAACTTTTGTCTTCTTCTGCTCGGCCTACCTGCTACTTGAGTGTTTTTCCCCAGCTGCTCTAAGTGTCGTGGGCCTACTCCCCGCTACCGGCATGTTTACCCCCCTGCAACCCTTCAAAGTCATGGCCACATGTAAGTACCGGCCCGGTGGGCCTTGCAACCAACAAGTACCCTGGCGGCAAGCACTCAGACAGGCATGCAACCCAGCAGGCACGCACACACACACAACCGGCAAGCACTCAGACAGGCATGCAAACCAGCAGGCACGCACACACACAGACTTGGGACCACAGCAGAATGCGGGAATCACACAAGGCATTCATTCCATTGACAAATCCCAGAAATCAGCAGTGTTCTCAGTCTGTGTTTTGGGCGGGTCATTACAGGGCTTGATCCCTGGACCTGTCTCTTAGTCAGTTAGTTACTTTTCTTTTTTTTCTTTTTTCTTTTTCTAACTCTGTGTAGATTTTACCTCTCCAGGGTTTGATCCCTTGACCTGTCCCTCGATGAGTCAGTGGGGCTTTTCTGCAATTGTGGTAGTTTTAGGCCTGCGTTGCTTTCGTTTGCTGTTTTGCCCTTCTTCTTTTCTTTTTTTTTTTTTTTTTTGAAAAACAACCTGGTCAAGAACTAGAGGTGCTGATAGGAGCAGACGCCTCTAGTACTGTCGGGGAGGCTCCATCTATTAGTGGGAAGCATCACCTGCTGGAAAACGGGTCCAGTGTCCCTTATAACAATAGGAAATAGAGTTTCTTGCAGGTACATACTCCATGGCCAATTACAGTCTGACCCCTTAGTCCTCTACCTCCTCCCTCCTTACCTAGCCCTGCCTTTGCTCAACCTCCTACCTCCTTTCCCGTGTTCTGCCATTTTACCCAGTATCTTCCCCATACCATTCTATGCGCACCAAAGCCAGAGGTTGGGGGGGGGAGAACTCAGCAAATTCTGACAGAGGCTGAGGCAGGAAAGAGGGGTCGACCTTCGTCCAGTCTTGAAAGCATAGATTGTAGTCTCTTTCCCCATCTCCTACTTCCCCCCCCCCCCCCTCTCTCTTCCTTTCCACACAACCTTTGCGATCCACCCCCCTTGTTCCCCGCCCAGCCAGTCTTTGCAGAAGCTTTCTATGTTTTGTCTGATTTCTTGTTTAGAATGTAAAAAAGCTATATTCTGTTTACTTTTCCCCATTGGATAACAATGTCTTCTTGTATTTGTTCCTTTATTGAACTAATGAACTCTGTGCCGTCCCAGTGAACCCCTTCCATTACCCCAGATAATGGCTCTGCGGCCCACTTTAAGCATGTTCTCCTCAAAGGTTGTAGCTTCCATGCTTTGCAGAGGAGAGCCCTCCAGTCCCATGGCCAGGGTTGTGAGGCGCCCATTTGTCTCCAGATGCGGTCCCACCACCTCCACAGCCATATCGCTGCCGGGCACTGCAGAAACATGTGTTCGATGGTCTCGGGTCATTTCCTAGACGGAAAGGATTCTGCACATAGCCTGCACCAGGGGAGCGTTAACCCTTTTTGTTCCAGGTGCGTTCTGTCTATCAGCCAGTCGTTAGTCAGCAGGCATCTATGTTCCACCTGCCATTGTAGGGAGGCCACTTTCGCTGGCATGGCCCTATTTGCCTTAAACCACTTTACCGGCCACAACATTTCCTTTCCTATGTTAAGATGTTTCATCCAACGCGACTCAACCACGTCCCTCAAGTTAACTCTTGGTCACAGCATCCGGTACAAAGCTTTAACCGAGACGGTATGCAGCCGCCTTTCCCCAGATCTTCCCATGCCATCTTGAAGAGTCCATATCCATTCAATCGGGCCCGGGGGAGTTCCTGTATTGGTTTATTTGGTTTGTACACCCTCCATTGGTCCTCCTTGAGGACACCCTTTTTCCTGTTTTCAGTATAGATTCGTTCCTAGGCAGTAGGTTGTCCGTCTTACGCTGTAGGCTGTCCCATCCTCGAGTGTCGAGGGGAACAAAAGTGTGGGGCACAAGGGAGTTCTGGTTCTTTGGTGGATACTTCTTTTCA